AGGTAGTTCCCAACATTCTGGAGAAGATGGCAAGTTTCTTTTTTGAGAAGTAAAGAGAGTTAGTACAAATTATAGCTTGGAAAGAAAAGCATTTTACATTTAGGGATTGATGCAGAAGAACATTCTTCTATGCATCTCCAACAAACAGGCCTCTGCAAATGAGGATACCCTCAAAAGTGGCTCTCCCACAAATCAGGCAGCTTTGTAATGAAACAGGTAATCTTCTGACAACCTAGCTCCAAATCATTTTTACAGGTTTAAAAATTAAGATCAATGCTTGAATTGAACCTGAAAAACAACTGGAAACGAGTTATACCAGTCAATAATCTTAATTACCAAATTTTAAATCAACTGAAGCCTTCAGATTGTCTTCAAAGATAGCCCTGCCAACAGTGCTCTGCAATAGTCTTCATGTGATGCTTTCATCCAAAGCATAAATAATTGTTGCCACATCAGACTAATTCACGATCACAACCAGCAAACCAAACACTGTATAAACACATTGTTTACTGTAGCTGGCATTTTTAATATATATATTTGACAATAAAATCACCTTCATAATCATCATCCAAAGATGCAGGCACAGCTTATTATCAATAAGTATTGTGCTAATCTGATCTTTCAAATGGAATGCAATTCCTTCCAAGACATATTGATTCAGAATCCTAAGTCACATATTCTACCAACAAATAGTATATCAACTGTACTTCACTCTAAATGACTTCTGCCATGGTTTCATACAGATATTATTACATCACTCAGAGGGCAACTAAGAATTCTGTGGGACAGTCAAGGCCAAAGACTCTGGTGCTGTCAAAGCACTGTCCCAGAGCAACATTTTCTTACATTATGTAGCAGAACTGACACAATACAAGGCAATACAGTGTCTCTAACATCTTGCCCCATTAATTTGCCACATTTATTTCTAATTCTGCTCCAGTGATACTGAAATGGTTTCCAGACAAGGCTTCCATCAAGCCATGACCCTGTTTCCTTCAAAATCACCCTTATTTGCTTGCATTTTCCCACCCCCAACTCTCACCTGCATCTTGCAAGAAAATTTTCTCTTTAAATTATCCGACGGTAAGAGTCACTTGTCCTATTTCAGTGCATCCTGAAGTTATACTACAGGGATGGCTCATATTTAAATAGAGGCCATCAGATGTACTGGAAGAACTTGTAGCCCAATTCTTTGTTTAACTAGAAGTGAGACACACCATCATTCTTGGACCGATATTCTAATTCACCATTAATTGGACCATGGTGTGTTAAGTCAGTTTCCTGAGTTTGGACAACACGCTGACACAAACCACCCCCTTGGTCTCCTTCTCCCAACGTCCCGGGCTAAGAAGTGGCTGGCGAAGTGATGGGTCAGGGTCGTGCGAATCCCGCCACGAGAGGCAGAGGGTTTCCCAGCCCTTCTTCGTAGTGCCTCGGAGGCGCCCAAGCGGGACTGCGCCGCTCGGGGCTGTCAGCCCCCCGCCTCCAGTGCCAGCTTTCAGGGCGGCCCACGGAGGGCGACAGGAAGGCCAAGCCTGGCAGGGAGTGGACAGGGTGGGTTTGATACTGGTCTGATACTGAGGAGCCGGGAGAGAAGACCCTCCTACCCGCCCACCTGCTTGAGCTTCTCTTCTATTTCCCTCCTTCGGGCGGACGCCTCCTCCGTGGGAATCATCCTGCGAGCAAACCGACCAGGGAACCTGACAGACAAGGCCGGTACCACCTTCCCACCACTGTCAACGCGTCCCAACTTCGCGTCCGCCTCATTCCCCGCCCCTCTGGTCTTGAAAGGCCGCCATGCTGGGAGTGGCTCGCTTGAGCCATCTGAGCATGCGCAGCACAATGGGGCGGAGACCTAGCGTGCGCATGCCCATGCCGGCGTTCGTTTTGAATCGGTGGGAAGCGGAGTCTCTTAAACGTCGGCCATTTTGGAGAAACATCTGAGGCTGCTCGGTTTAGACGCCTCGGGGGGGAGTCGAGAAGTGGGAGGGGCTCTCGCCGCGTGGCACGTCTGGCTCGGTGCTGCTTGATAGAGCCTGTCATTGCTGAGATTGTCCCTTGAAGAACGCTTTTGTTGGGATTTCAGTGAGCGTGCTAGGTACTATGAACGAATCAATTATAGCAAACGCTTAGGTAGGTCAGTTCAGAGGTAAATCCTGCTGAATTCAGCGGGACTCACTCTCAGATGAATATAAGGTTGCAGTTGACCTTAGTTTAGCCATGTTTTATGATAAACTGTTTTAGCTCCTTTGGCAGCTGTAAATAATTTACTGAAGCAAATATCCTTATTTCCTCAAAGACTAGAGTACAATGGTTATTGTTATTGTGCCGTTGAAAATGAAATGTGAAAGGGGAAGAATGTCAGCATTTTGCTAAATAGTCATCCTTCTTCCCCAACGTGATGTCCTTCGGAGGAGTTGGATGTAGACTGTGAATTGTAAAATGTGTAAAAGCAATACTATGTATTATGAACAATTTCTAAATGCAAATGTATTTTCTGATAGGTACACAAATACTAACTTTCAAAAATGAGCCAGAAGTACACACTGCTCTTAAGGGTACAGCCAGTGGCAAACTGGAGGGACAGCAAAATGACAATACATCTGATGCAAGTACATCAGTTGCAGTATTTGGGGGATGATTTGGTCATGTATTTGTGGTCATTTGCCCCTTGGACACCCATACAGGTTGCTTGCTCATTATCAAAGTCTAATTCAATACAAATGTTTTCTTTCCCTGAGATGCTATCATGACTCCAATTCTGGTTTGTCCCTCTTTTGTAATGCTTTAGATGTCTTAAGATAAGCTTTCAGATAAACTTGCAGAGGAGCAGAATGCATGAGTACGACAGACTTCCTGATTTTACACTTGTTTTCTAGACAGAAATTTCCCCTGACTACTGTGGACTTATTCCCAAATTCTAAAATAATCTGTAAAAATGTTCTCTGATCAAATAGAAGCAATTGAATTAGCTTCCTACAAGTGAAGGGACAGTATTTTACACACAATACAACCAATTCTCTTTACACATGTAGCATTCCTTGGATGGAAGAAGTATCAGAAAGGTATTAATACTGTACCTTTCTGTCTAGGTTAACCAAACTGAATGGTTAAAGGCCATTTGACTCTGAAACTTGCTGCGTGGATTTAGCTGACTCACGTGAAGCCAGTTACAGTATTACTGAAAAGATCTAATGCTGTAATCTCTATGTGGAGATGGGAATATGTCCCTAGGCATTGTTTCTCGTTTCTGGAGTTCACATCAATGTACCATCCTCAAAAGGTTCCTATTGACAATTTTTCTTTTATAGTTGTTTTCTTAAGGTCCAGGTACAAAATGTGTGAATGACTAGTGGGGAAAGAGAATTTTATAGCTATAAAGTAAGCTTCAAACGTTGAATAAAGCATGATGCAAAATTACTGTTCTGTGTCCAAACAGATGACATAATTTGGCTAAGTAATTCCTAGCTTAGTGAAGCCAGTAAGACGTGGCCTTTTTGTCATAAAAAAGGCACATCACATTGTTTTTTAATGGTTTTACACAAAACTGATGACAGAGTTTTTAAAAGGTTTTCTGTAAAATCGCCTTATCCACTAGGTGTCCCCACATACCAGTTTGAAAAAAGAATAGTAAAGGTTGAATGCTTTGTTTGAATCAATATTCAGTCTTACATTAGGACATGTCATTTGTAATTTAATTGGGACATTCCTTTCAGGTAGGGGGCCAGCTATTCTTGATGCAGCTCAGATAAAAGTAAATACTATGTTCTGAATCCTAATCCACTTAGCAAACAGCAGTGCACACACCACAAAAATGCGTTGGAGAATGGGGAAATGAAATACGGTACCTGGCCAAGAATTCACTGGCTCTTTCAGCTAGAGAAACTACAACAACTAGAAAGATCTTTCAGTTTAGGCCTCTGAAATAAACGGATAATCCTTATCATTTTTACGCTATGCACACTATTTCATACTGGACATATATACAACAGATAGAGCTTTCAGCTTGGAAAATCAGTAAACAATTTTTTTTCTTGAAATGCCAGATTCTTAAGTTACATTTTACACCATTTTAAAGTAGTGTCTTCCCTCTTCTTCTGATAGAATTTTTGCCATGGACACATCTAGGATACTTCATTAACAATGTGGACGGTGTCACAGTCAGGAGATGCTGTTGGCAAGTGTGGGTACACTCTTCTCTCCTCTGGTCACGGGGATCTTTCTCTTGCTTCACCCTACATGCCTCCTCCAGGATTGTGACCTAAGAGTCAGCCTATTTTTGGACACAGGCTTAATGCTTTTCGAAAAGTTGTTAAACGTGTTCAGAAATTACCTAACTGTATGTGTCACTTGTCACTCTGGCAACTTGAAAGGTGTCTAAACCCTCCATCCCAGGCACCTGTCCAAGGCTGCCCCATCATATGTTGAGGAAAGCAGTTGATCGTTGTTTTTCCTGCCAGTTGATGACATTCAGTAGGAGTAAAATCAAAGCCTGGGGAATCCACCAATGTCCCACATTAAGACTGTAAGACAGCACTTATTACTAAGGCAGGATCGAGCCCAAATGTCAGGATGGCTGCTATACTTTTCTGCTTACTCAAGCACAGGAGGATAGGGAAGAAAGAGGGAAATCTGTGCACGAGAAAACAGAGTGGTTTTTGACTCTCTACCTCTTTCTCATGCACACACAATTCTGTATTTTCACTCACTCTCACCCACTGTCAATATGTGCCCCTGCTTAGTTATTCTTCCGAGAAAGGGTTACTCTGAACAAGATGGTTTACCAATGAGACATGTGCCCAGTGAGTAATAAAAGGTTTGTGGCATCAATTTGAATGTTATGGCTTCTATTTCTTCTGGTTATTCTGTGACCATTAAATCCCCAATGTATGCTAGCAGATCTGCAGGGTGTTCCAAGAGTTGATTCTCATCTTTTCTTTTTTGTTCTATATGGTATATGTATATATATCTTTTTTTTTATATGGATTTTTTTTTGTTTTATATGGATTTGCTTCTATTTTACCTTATGTAATTCTTGCAACAGAGAAGGTGCCTGTTCTAAGGCTCTCTTATAGGGACACTTTGTTTGGTCCTGTTTGGCTTTATATTTTAAATGTATTATTTCACATCAGACAAGCATGTTTGTCTGAACATAGTGGGAATTTCTTGTAAATAAACAAATATTAATACCTTTTCAGGAACTCCAAAATCAAAGAAAAGGCTTCATCTTCATTATATTTTTCCTTTTTCCCCCTTTTCTCTTTTCCTTCTTTCTTTCTGTGTATCATGTAATTCCGAATTTATCTAAAAGCATGTTTCATTTTAGCTGTAATCATACTGTATTTTATCATGACAAAAATTGTTCCATGCATTTAGAGGGAACAGAGAGCTTTTTAAAATAATACCTGAAATTATCTTGCTAACCTTAGAATAGATTTGGGCTTCTTTTCTATTAATTTAAGCTTATATCTGAGACATTAATCACTCAAAAGATCCCTGTGCCAAGCTGTGCTAACCTGTCAATTTATAGAAAAGTGTTCATGCATTTTAGAATCAGTTATCAAGTATGACACATTTTTAAAAAGGAAGCAAGAACAAGTTGTTGATTAACTTGCAGGCCCTTGTTCTTGCTGAAACGGGACAACACAGCACCATAGTCTTCTCTAACCTGGAGGAGTCCTCCAGTACACTATTGCACTACAGTTCCCATAATTCCCAACCACCATGGCCATCAGATCTAGAGGAAGGCTGACATAATAGCCCCTCTTAAGGCTCTTTCCCATACCCTGGGTGATGTGCTTTCCTTGAGTTTCTAGAGCCATCCAACTGTCATTGTGGCAAAATAACTGTAATGCGGATGGGCTTTATATCTCTAACAGTGGCTTGTGTTTATCTGGTCAGATAACAATAGCTGTGAAAACTCCCTTTGCCTTGTGGCTCTGATAAATAAGGCGCTATTCATTTGTGGGGATTATTCATTGCTTTGCCTTGCTATATTCCTCACTAGGCAGTGTTTGCTTGAGCACGTAAATCTGAGGAATGGGTCTGCTGTCTGTTCATCCGGCATTGCGTTTCTTCCTTTCCTCTGCCTGTTTTTCAAGGCCTTCAGAAAAGGCAACAACTTCCTGGTTACTATCTGACTATAAGCATTTGAGTGTTTGGAAAGGGTGTGAACTGGACTGGAACAGAGTGGAGAAATAAGAGCTGCTGTTGTGCTACCTGCTGAAACATTTTCCTGGTTGGCCAAGGTGGCTAAGGAGAAAGAAAGCTCTTTTTCCAGAGAAGCCTGAAGATGGGAGTGAAGGGAAGAAAAGATCCCATATATTTCCTCCTCCTTGAAGAAACACTCTGCAAGATAAAGGTGAAGAGCCAAATTCTTGTCAGGCAAAATCCCAGCAACAAAGTCACAGCTGGAAGGAAGAGAAGGAGGGGTACCGGAGAGCGGAAATTAGTTGTCCCACTGTTGGCCTCTTAAAGCCATACAGAGAAGCTGCTGAATTATTAGGGCAGAAGCCCCTCCTGCCCAACCCTTAATATCACTGGTAAAAATTGGATTGGATTTTTAGCAGGGGGAGTTGGCATCCAGATTTGAAGTTTTCCTCCTATTTGTCACTGTATGTCTGGCAGTCTGTTAAAGAATATGACAGTTACTCAGTTCTGAAGAAAAGGAATTGGTTGTGATGGAGCATTATCATGATAATTGGCAGTATATAAAGTCTAAAAATATAAATATAGTATAATGTAATACACAACTTTAATCATATAATTACACCAACATGACCTATCCTGCTAACAGTTTACTCCTTCAGGAAGTGAAGGAAGCCATAATAGGATTAGCTGTTGTTGACTTGGTATTAACTAATAGGAAGCCTTCACTGAAGAAGTGGAAATAGCAAAAACATTGAGGGAAAATGATAATGCATGCTGGAATTGTTGATTTTAAGAGAAACTAAATACAGGTATAGTAGAATGTGTTTCTTGGACCTTCAAAAAAGCAAATTTTAGTAATTCAGAGCAGTGAAAAATAAGCTACATAGCAAGAGACATTAATAGGGGGAAAAGTCTAGAAGAGATGGAAATCCCTTAAATAAATCCTCAAAACACAATTGCAAACAATTTCAATGTGTAAAAAAAATGTTCTTAGGTAACTAAGGAAAAAATGTACAGGTATCCCAGAATTGTAATTTTAGGCTAAAGCTTAGAATGAACTGAGGTTGGCCAAAGGATATTAAGAATAATAATTTAAAAAAAGCCTTTCTTTTGAAAAATGAATAAATACCTACCTACCTACCTACTACCTGGTAACAAAAAGAGAAATAATTCAACTCTTACTTTAGCTCAGTCTCCTCAGAGAAGAGAGTATGTCTTCCACCTGGCAACTGTAAAAACCAGGATGAAATGGCAAGGTTGAAGCTTGAAACTGATAGAAACATGGTAAAAAAAGACCTATTTATTATGAACAAATTTAAATCTCCAGGATCAAATGAATTGTGTTCTAAGGTGCTGAAAAAACTTGCTGCTGAACTGGCAAATCCTGTGCGCATCATCTTTGAGAAATCCTAGAGAACAGGTAAAGTACCAGATGATTGGAGAAGAATAAGTGTAATTTCTCTCTTTAAAGAGGGAAAAAAGAGGATCTAGGGAATAACAGTCAAGCTGAGATCAATATCTGAAAAGATTCTAGAACAGATTATAAAGTGATTAATAAAACAAGTACTGCATTATTTTAAAGATGCTTAAGACAGTATGGATTTGTCAAGAATAATTCATACCAGGCTAATGTTATTAATCTCTTACCTTCCTTGATTAGATTGGGGGAATGCTGTACACATAACCTAATAGAATTGGGTTAAATTTTTCAATATGTCATTAATTTGTTTTAAGAAGCTGAACATACTTTATCATTTTGAAAATTACAGGTCATTGTTAAAATTCAAACAATATGTAAATATCAACAGCAGTACAATTTTCTAATTGCTTCAGTTCATTCACCAGTATATCCTTCTGTTTTTTTTATAGCTTTCTTTGTGTTTGATGCCAGAGAGATAAAGAATCCTCTTATAAAAGCTCTGCTGGAGTCCCATACTCTACATATGGAAACATAATAAATGAAATAGATTTGGAAGAAGCTCTTTCTTGTTGGCATTTCAGGCTGATGTCCTCTTGTAATAATAAAAAAAGTTCATTAAGTCTCCACTTATTCAGTCTGCAAATTCTTCTATTTACTGTTACAGTTATTGCATATGTAGGTACTCCGACTTCTACATTTATAAGATTGGTTAGCAATTAATTATAAATCATGTATTCTCAAGTAAGCTTTATGAAATGAAGAATAATAAGTATATATTTTTCCCTCCAGGATATTTGTATCTCTACACTGAAAAGAGACAGTAGTGACGCATAGTCTTTAGATATTTCAAGGGTATTTACCAGAGTTCATTTTAGATAAAATGGATTTATCTGTGTGTAGAGAAAAAAATCATGTCTTCAAGAACTAGAATATCTCCCTCCACAATTTCAAAAAGCAATTGAAACAATCTTATTTGGTACTTTATTTTGTTGTCATTTGGTCCATAAATTGAAGGAATTGTTATTTTCCAAGATTCAGTCTGAAAATACAGTATTATTAATCTCTCTTCATCATCTTGGATTTGTTTTTCCAGATTCTGTAGTAAAATTTTCACATATATAGCTACTCCATTTTTTGTCTGAGGCCAAAATTTTTTGCATTCCATCTGCCTAAGGCCACAAGTTACTAGCATTCCAATAAGTTTACCTTGGTTTTAAAATGTGTCTTTTGAAGACATATAATGTGTTTGTTCAGCCCATTAATATTAGTTGAGAATATATTAATTTGGTCCATTATGTCAATTCTCAATTTAAGTCCCTAGATTCAGGGGACCCCTCCCCGCAACACAGCCATTCACAGGGTGGGGCCAAAGCCTCTTCTTCCCCATCCATACCACCACATCCTCTAGAAATTGAAACAGAACCTTGATGGCAGCACTTGATTGGCCAGGGGTAGAGATGTGAGCATCATTTGTGTATTGATGATACTTAACTCCAGCTGGTGGATGACCTCAGCCAGAGGCTTCATGTAGATGTTAAATGTGAATTTATTTATCATATTTATATAGCTGCCCACCTCACACAAAGTTAATAGAATGTAGAGCATGAGGATCCCCACAAAGTAGAGGTCTATGGCTTTATCTTTCCTGTCCTACCACCATGAAGCTGGTCCAGAGGAAGGAGGAAAGCCACTGCAACACTTTGCATCCTACTTCCTACTCCTAGTTCAGAAGAACACCATGACTGAAGGTATCAAAAGCTGCTGAGAGATCAAGAAGAACCAGGATGGATCATCTATGTATATGATCAATGCCTTCACAGCACTTTGTCCCAATCTGAAACCTGACTGAAAAGAATCCAGATAATCCTTGTTATCCAGGATCTTCTGAAATTACAAGCTGACCCTGTTCTCAGAAACCTTTTCTTAAAAAAGGGAAGATTGGAGACAGGATGAGATTTATCTAACACAGTCAGATCCAGTGTTGGTTTCTTGAGGAGGAAAAAGACCACTGTCTCTGTAAGAGTGGTGGAACCATTGTAGTCCACAAGGATGTATTCACCACCACCTGGATCCAACCACATGTCTCCCGGGAGGCCTTTACTAACCAGAAGGCACATGGATCTAATATACAAGTAGCTGTGCTTACTGCCCCGAGGAACCTGTCAACTTCCTCCAGATTAAGAGACTTGAATTCTTCCTAGGTATCCAAGTCAGATTTGTGGATGACAAAGTTATTTTTATTTTCTGTAGGAGACAGAAAATAAAAATAACAGGGCTGAAAATAACAGAATGAAATTGAACAGAGACAAATGCAAAATCCTACACTTGGGAAACAGATGAAAAGAATTGAAATAAAACAGTATACTGTATCAGGTTTTGCAACAGTACTTGTGAAAAACATCTTGACATAGTAGTTGATTACAAATTAAATATGACGCAGCAATCTGATGTAGTTGCAAAAAAGAGAAGTGCATATTCAGGCTGCATAGTTTTTAAATCATGAAGTAAGGTTCCCCTTTATGCTGCATTGGTCAGATGCTACCCAGAGTATAGTCTTCAGTTCTGGACACCACAGTTCTGAACTCTGAAAAACTAGAAGAGGATTTGTACTCTTTTGTAGGGGCATTTATAAATATAAGTAAATAAAAACATGAGTAAACTGAACCAACAATATTTTCATTAAAATGAAATTACTAAAGGTGCAGAATCTGAAATTGGAGTATGTGTGGGGGTGTTCAGACATTTGATCTATAACTTTCGCTTCACCGTGCCCATTTTTATTACACCTTCCAATCCAAAAAGGACGCACAGATATTTCTTATGAACTTCCCTCTCTTCCATCATTTCTTTGGTGGGTGTATGCATGTCTGCTCATTCTACATACACGGATGGGATTTCCTCTGCCTTCCCTACTGTGAGCAGTAAGTAGGAAAAATAAGCTGTTCACACTATTCAACCTAAATAAAAATAAACTGGATTTTATATAGATTCAGAACCCATTCCCACTGAACCTAGAGAACATGGATTCAGATTAGATTTTTTAAAAAGTTGGATGGATTTCCAGCACCCAAAAGAGAGCACAAATTATTGCTAACAATCCACCTTGATGAGTGGCCCTGGCTGTAGAAGGAGTTATTTTGTAAAGCAGATGGAAGAGAACAGAATGCCATAGGGGATTAATTTAAATGGTTGGGTTGAAAAAAAAAATGTTGGTCAGCACAGTTTTTCTTATTCCCTGCAGTACTGTGACTTCTAGAAATGCTTTTGCCAATTGCTTCTGCTCTGTAACTAAATCAAGAGACATATAGTTCGTATTTACAAAAGATACCCTACAGGATTATGGAAACTGAATTGTTTTATTCAACTGGTTTGGTTTAACTGTATAGTTTGCTCTACCAAATCTGAGTTTTTAAATCTGTTTTTGAAAACTATTTTTATTCAGAGGGGAAAGCAAGTCATTTCAATGTGATGTGCCAAATCATCAATTCTTACAAGTGAAGGAGCATCTTGTTACACTAGACAGTTTAAAGGAGAACATGAAGAATTCTCTGCACTGCTTCAAGGAACCAAGGGAGGCATGTCTGGAGAATCTCTCTTAGAAAGTACTGCTACTTTTCTGATTCTCAAGTAGGGAGCTGAAATTGCATACAGCAGGATAAGAAACATGTGGTAGTGAATATATGATATGTGTATATATCAGTATAAAGACTGTGGAACAATAGATGGATTTGTCCAGAGTTACTGCATTGTGTAAGAAGAAAACATTCTTGGAAAGGCTATCGAGCAAAATTAGATATAATACTTTGTCATTTGTGCAAAACCCTATATTGAGATCAAGCTCCCAAAGTTCACATGTAAGACCTTTTCTGGCTGATACAATTTTGCTTTGATCTGATTCTGAGCATAAAAGATAGTCTCAGTCATTTAATCTTCACAATTAAGTGCTTGCTTTCTTTCTGTAAAATGAAATTAGGGCTGCAAGATTTAATCAAGATAATTAGAAGATTCATCAACTAAAACATATAATTACAGATTAAAACTTTTCCCCAGATAATTAACTGGGCTGGGATCGATGAACACACAATGATGCAGATTGCGCAGATATTTGAGCTCAAACAAGGCTTTCAGATCGGTGCTTTTTCACACTACTGATGGGATCTGGGATATGAATGAGCAAGATCCTTTGCTCTAGTTTAAGATGCTCACCACAGCCCACTTGATCTGCTAGTACCCATGCAAGATCATCAGTTTCCATTATTCCATTCTCAGGGTCTTCCCTCTTTGTTGAAGTACTGCTACCACAACCACGGATTTGTAATTCCACATCAAGTGAAAAAACCAACCCAGTCTGAAAACTGGCTTTAGTAGAATCTATCACGTTTTGCAGTAGGTCTAAAAAACTTCTCTAATATTCTAAACCATACAGTATTTGTATCCGGGAAAGCCTTTTTGATATTTGCATCACAATGATGCAAGCACTTGGCAGACTTGGCCAAGGATTTTGTTTTTCTAGCAACCTTCAGAGGATCACAAGGGACACAGTATTAATAATATAACTTCCTTGACAATGATGCAGCTAAATTTTTGGCCGGTTTTTTTTTCTTTGTAAGCTGAGGGTTTTAAAAAGTATAACTTCCTTGACAATGATGCAGCTAAATTTTTGGCCGGTTTTTTTTTCTTTGTAAGCTGAGGGTTTTAAAAAGTAAAATAAGTACATATACCCTATCAGAGGCTTAATGCATGACTTTTGCTTCCTACTTTTCTTTAAAAAAAC